AAAGATAAGACCTTCTTATTTTATATTCTAGCTTGTCAATATCTGTAATTTGAGTTTCTAACTCATATGAAACTACAGACTTAGTGGTATGCTGCATTCAACATACCATATGTCACACAAAAATCAATGTTTATCTGTGTTTTTTAACATTTACTTTTAAATTAAGAAATTGAGTAATGCATAGTTCTAAAATTTGAATTACAATACACAGTTTGATACCAAACTTATTGATATAAATTGATGAAATAGTAGTTCAACAAATGAGATGACATGGCCTTTCACCTGTGATCTGTATCGAAAGGGTTAATAATAGAAGTGATTGAGTGAAACACTTTTAAATGTGTAGTTAAATATACCAAGATATCTTCTTTACAAGACAGACAATGGTCAAGTACAGATCATGTCAATGTTCTTGCTGTAAATACAGGTGGAATAGTTACCCTGAAAATAGTAACATACACATTTACACAAAATTGTTACAATGGAAATGGAACTGTTTGAAAACCGCTGCTAAGAATAGGTAACTAAACTGAAAAGTTGAAATGGACATTGGACCACAAACATCAGAATGAGAAATGCTGGAGACTTGCATGAATCTAAGATCGAATTATTCAGCACCAATCAAAAACAGTTTGTTCAATAACAGAAAAGAAAATGGTATTTCATTCACTGCACATCTACAGTGGAGCATGACATGGATCAGTCCAAGTTTGAGTTACATCTCAATTAAAAGTGTTGGTAATTGATGCCAGACTAACTGCTAAAAAAGTATAAGCAAATAGTAATCCATCATGCCATTCCCTCACAACTCATTGGGCAGGGATTCATCTCCCAGCAACATAATGATCCCAGGTATGCAGAAAATGTTGTTAAACAAATATCTTGATGCTAAAGAGGCAAATGGAACACTCACAATTATAGCTTGTCTTGCACAAATTCCTGATATGAAAATTCTAAAGGCTGTATGTGCTTCTGTAGAAACTGAGATCAAGATGATAAAGAAACTTGACTGAAATCTGCGGAATAATGCAAGAAGTGTGCAGCAATATCCCACAGTCATACAACAACAACAAATTGTACGGCAACATGAAAACAGGATATAATGCTCTGTGTATATCAAACAGCTCACAAACAAAACACTGATGCACAGTAAAACTGTGGTAATGTACCATTAATAAACTTTATACCATTTAATTGCAATTACTCATTGTTTGTGACTTTTATATGTGTATTGCTTGTGTGATTCCATAAGCATTTCCACAACTGCATATTAAAGTCCAAGCATTAATCACATTTAATATGCTAAGACTTGTAAAAATATCTTTGTAATATTTTTTATAGAAAATATTAAAGTACATTAGAGAGAAACATAGCCTGATAACCAAATAATAAACCAAATTTTAACAGTTTAAATGTGATCAACAATAACAGACAAAAATGATACTACAATATTTTTGAATATTTACAATATAGAATGCATTAGGCTATTTTAACTGACAATCAAGCTGTATGGTCAATTTTACCATTTGATCCTGATGAACAGAAATGGTAAAAGTTATTTCAGAGTATATACAATATGTACAATTATAGAAACACGTGAAGCTATATTAACTTATTAATCAGGCCATAAGGTAGACTTTTAACGTATTCAAACCTGATGAACAGAAAGGTATGTGAACTGTGTTTAATATAAAAACACATAAGGTTATACCAACTTGACAAGACCTTAATGTGGATTTAAGCACATTTAAACCTAATGATCAAAAGTAGTAAAAGTTTTACTACAATATATAAACTGTACAATCGAGAAACACAAGTTGTTTACGTAATAGGTCATAAGGAAGACTTAGGCACATTGAAACCTTACAATCGTAAGTGGCAAAAATGGTAATACAGCATAAGAAATGTGTATAATTACAGAAATAAGTTCTATTAGCTTTATAATCAAATTATAAGCTCAATTTTAATACATCAAAACATCTTTCATAGAAACAGAAAAAGTGATATTATAGTATATAAGATAAGTACAATAAAGAAAACCATTAATAGTCAAAGCAAAAAGTAAATTTTAAAATATCGAAACTACAAGTACAAAAAACAGTAGGAAACACTATAAACACTGCCTCTAAATGTACAAAAACAGGAAAATCTAGGGCATCAGTAATATCTACCAATATGACCAGAGAGTTCCTAATCATTTGTAACATATACTTTATAACATTTTCATGAATATTTTAAGATATTTCAAACAAAAGAAAAAACTTTTAAACAACACCTAACTTACAAGAGGAGTTTTCTCCATGGATTTCAAGTAGTAAAAAAGAGCCTTTGTATGAAATATTGAGGGATGAAGTTTTCTGTTGGGACTCAACCATTGTCGGTTGAGGTCTTCACCACTTAAGGAACACCGATAACTATTAATAAAAAATAAACAAGATTTTTAATTTTTAAGTCATCGTCAGACAATAACGAACAAATGAATAGACAGGTATTACTGATAATACAAGCAATTTGATATATTCTATTGTTCTGTTCAGAGAAATGCAGAAAGATAGATATTTAATACACTATACATATCAAAACCTTTGTATGCCTTTTTCTTACCTCCCATTGATAACTCCATCTGGATTTAACATAGGAACTACCTTAAAAATCATCATTTCTCTTAGCCTTTGGGCAGATGGTTTATTGCCAAGTAGAAAATCCACAGTTCCTAGAAAATAATGAATTGGTAGATCAATGTTTTGTCAAATACAGAACCAAAGCTAAACTCCTTAAAGAAAGTAGCTGGGATAAAGACTATGAATACAAATACCCATGACAATTTCAAAATTCCCACAATGACCTATCAATCACATCCAATACCTTGTTAATGGACACCTATGAAGAGAAGTGTTGTTTCACAATTAGTTATAACTGCTAGTTATGTATTCAATAGTTTTGGAACATAAATCAGAAATACTACTAATGATATCTAATATTTTGAAATTATGAAGTTTTTTCAAAATAAAAGTGGTAATTTAATTATCATGATCAACCTACTAATAGGTGGAAAGACCCAACCCTCAAAATTGAAACATCTTGCTTACAGATATTGTTTTAATATCATTTAAATGTGGATGTATTACAGGCTGAAATACCATGTTAAAATATAAGGTTTAATAACCCATAAGCTTTCCATCTCTTTAAAAAGAACTCTCCATCAGGTGGAATTAAACACTAACTTATAACATACTGTATTGACCCAAACTTGAGTAGGCCTAGAATTTAAGAAGACCTTACTTTTCAAAGATGAGAAATTGTTTTTCTTAAGTGCTAAAAAATGTACAGTAGACCTAAGATTAATAAGATGGTATCATACAAACAGATAACTTCAACAAAGAATAGGGGAAAATAAGTTTCTATACTCACCATTAGAGGGTGTCAGCATTACAATATTCTACCAAGTAAAGCTCTGATATTGTACACAGGGGGTTCAATTGAATATGCACTTGAACTATTTCTCAACAGCCTTACATGACTGAGCATGTCACCTTGACTCGGAACATAGTCCACAAATATAGAGCAAGCTGTATTTTTCAAATCTTACTTCTAAAATAAATTCGTTTTAAATTTGGGCCACTATGGTAGTTACATGTATATAAATAGAGTAAACATGTTTAAAACTGATAACATTTCCCATACAATCCATAATAGTCTAAAATGTTTTTAAAAAAATGTGTTACTATTCCACAACCAAACCATTTAAATCATTATGTAAATATATCTATATGTACAGTTCTTTCCTCATCAAGATTACAAATACTGTATACAAGTAATTTTTATATTGTTTGTAAATGTATAATTGAGACAAAAAAAAATTAAGGCAAAATCTCTTCATTAGATAACAACCAAAACAGTCGTGTTGCAGTCCAAAAAAAAGAAAAAAAGAGAGATTATGCTTTATATATATATATATAAATAACTCTCTTACAGAAGCCAAATGGCTCATCATCTAATTTGTGATACACACAAACCACTTTACAACATTCTCAAAGTCCCTGACTACACTGTACTATCTAGCACAAAGGCAGCCAAGAGAACAAGCTTGAAAAATCAGTGTGGCAATCCCATGCGATACTACTGTACTCACCTTTCATGGCCCACGAGGAGTTGCTTTCTCCTGGATGTACTCGGCCCGTGAGAAAAACATAAGGTCGGAGAGCTTGAAATCATACAAAATATGTTACATGTAAACAAAAACTTGTAATTCTTTTTTATTTTCTGTATCATATCACTAGAAAATCTACAGTAGTAAAAAACCCAAATGTTTTTATTATGGTCTAAATTGCCTCCACCAAAAAAAATTGTTAATATTATTGCCACAAAATAACATTTTTGGACTCCAAGGTTTAAACATCAGTGGGATTCTTCTTAATTTGACTTCTACATTTTTCTCTTGAAATCACTAAAAACAATTAAACAAAATTTTTTTTATTTTTAGATTTACTTTTTGTTTCAAATTATTTTCACAAATCATTAGCAATAGATTGCTAGTGCTAAGGACAAATTACAAAGAAAATTTATTTCCTTGGTTAACCTGAATAGTCTGTCTTGCCAAGATCTGTTTGAACACAATTTTGGATTGCTAGTTTACTCTAAGTATATAGATAACGACAACTGAAAATGTTCAAAAAATATTTTTGCAAAATATTTCATATGACTTTGAATTATAATACTAAATGTTTTCATTTTCTTAGATAAGTAACCAATAGGGTTTATCACGCTCAGCAATAAACAGGAAAAGAACCTGAAATATTGTTCTAAAAGAAAATAAGTACAAAGTGAATAAGTGTTAATATTTTTGGAGGTAAATGAAAATTCTTAGAGATAGTTATTTACCATTAATTACATCTATTTCTCATGATCTAGCAAATGTTTAAACCTTTAATATTTCTCTCTCTCTCCTCTCCCTTCAGTAGTGAAATTTTGCAATAAAGAAATTTTTGTATGTATATCATGTTATGAGGCCTAATATCTTTAGAACTGTACAGGCCAAGCACATGACATATAACCTTTATGTTACTGTCATCAATTCTCCCCAATGAAAACTAATACTTTTTTAGAAAATGTTATTCATAGTCAACATTTATTTTAAGCCCATGAAAATTGTACTAAACAGTTTATATACTTCATTTCAGAGTGAAAGAGAAACTTTCAAAAATCTTATAACATTATCAATCCTTTTGTATTGTTGTTGGTTGTAGTAGAAAGAGAAACTTGCTCTATCTCAAAATCCAATGTAAGGCATTCTTGAAAGTGTAGTAAGATGGTCAAAAACAGTAAAATATGTCATAAAGCATTTTATATCAGTGTTCATTATGACACAAGTCATCAGATATTTACATGTTGTTTAACATTCACTACTTACACAGTTATTAATAAAAAGCAACTAAATCATGCTTGAACTTAAGTATTTTTTCACACAATGTGGGAAATAAAAACTCAGATAGTTTAGCACAAACGTCTACATGATTTTTTTTTGCAACAATCCAGGCAAATATGCTTTGTAAGGCATTACATTCCCCACTACAGAAAAAAAACCTAACTTCTCTCTTACACAGGATATACTGCCTGACTAAGGGTATCTGCCCAAAACATCATATAAAAAATTAAGTTTTCATTTAGACATTCATGTTTGAACTTATTTTGTCACATATATGAATAATGAAACTTAGATTTAAAACATTTATTAACTGAATAATTTTACTGATCACAATGCATTTCATTTTTGAATCTTTTCAAATTAAAACATTACTCACAAACAAATTTATTTTTCACATTCTTACCATCAGGAGGTTGAGCTGTGATAGTGAGTAAAGGAACAGGATTGCCAGTCATAGAAGTACATAGATCTTGTTTCTTGAAGTACACCATAGTAGTGTCGTAAGAGTTTTCCAGACAGTATAAATGAGTCTTACAGAAACAAAGTGCAAAAAAAACATCAAAAAGAGTATCAAACAAGTTTTATAATTTCTAAGTTCTGCTTATGTTAAATACAAACAAAAACTTAAATGATTAAAAAAGGGACTACTCAAAGCCTAAACACATGCTAACCACTGGGCCATACTCACTCCAGGCTAATGATGACACTGAGGTGGAAAAAACAATCATTGAACAGCAAATGCAATGGTGGTAAATTTTTAGGTTTCAGATTGGTTTCATCCACGTTTAGAATTAAGTTAATTACAAGTAGTATATATCAAAAGAGCTCTTTGCTATAGCTGGTTTTCAAGTTTCTTCAAATATTAAGCTATTAATAATCAGTGTTACCTGATCCTGACACTGTAATTAGTCAGCAATATTCTCTACCAACAGAGAAAATGATTTTTTTTAATTATTTGATGCTTGTATCATTCTTTCTATCAGTTAAATATTTAAGATTAAGGTATCTATATATATATTGACAGATGTTAAAGTTCAAAAAATATTTACCTGTAAAAGGGAGTAGGTGTAGGGATAATGATATGCTAAGTAGCAGACATCACCAGCATGAGCAAATGACACTGTAAATGACAAAGTGTAGTATGGTTTTCCTCGCAAGATTGATGAAATTGTACCCTTTCGAATATAATGGTTCCTATAATAGGCAATATTACTCCCTGTTCGCACCCATTTCCCCCTTCCTAACATGCTCTCTTTCACTGAGAATAACACTGGACACATGCCTGTTAAAGAAAGTAATATTGTACAAGACTTAATAATAACATAAATATATGAAAATAAAATAAGAGGATTCATACAATAACTTATCATTATAACAGTGTGACAATTACATATATTTCAAAAACTAACTTATGAGGTTATTATATATTATAATACATAATGTACATGTCCATTATTAGGGACAAAAGATTGCCATGAGTATTTTTAATTCTGTCTGTTTAATCATGTAATTATCACAAAATCAGTGATACTGCATCAAATCTAATAACCAATGGAAGCTTGATGTTGAGCTTTGTCTCGTATCTAAGAAATTTTTTATATTATATATACATATATATATTAGTCTTTATAGTTTTCAGGCTTTCATAAATAGATAAAACTAATGCATACTCAATTTATTTTTCACACTTTGAAACTATCAAACAAGTTACTTGGAGGATTTTACTCACAAAAATGCTTCTGTATGTGAGAGTGAGAGAGAAAAACAATACCCCATTTGTAAGTCCTGGAATGCATCCTAGGTAATGTGCTTTATATGAATATGTTAAAAAGGCAAAACAAAGCATTAGGAGAATTACCTTTTGGTTATTATAATTACTTTGAATAAATCAATGGAAAAATATTATCATTTAGAATATTAACTGTATAAAATAATTTCCTTCAATTAAAAACATTACTAGAGTGGTGTAATTGACGATGTCACTTATAGGGGCAAGAAAGAATCCTAAAAAATATCAAAGCAAAATATTTATACATATGCACAAATGAAGAAGCACATATCATAGCATAAAGTTCAAGGTTTACTGCAAGACTGAATTAACAAGAAACCATAGTTGCTTATATCTTGCATGGTAAATGTTTCGAGTTGCCACCCTCATGAAATATGTTTTCAGCAAACATGTTTGCTGTAATGAGGCTACACAGAACCTACTACCAATGTGAAAAAAAATAAAATGTCAAAAACACTCTATGTTTATCCTTAAAAATAACGATAATCTGAATATTCCCTAAAATATCTTGACATTTTTACTTTTTATTTAATACTTTCATTTTCACCTACCACCAGTAAATATGCTGCTAGATTTTTCACAGTTGATGATATTGAAAGTATAAGGTAGGTAGGCTTCCATCCCTGAGACTTCAAAATAAAACCACTGATGATGGTAGTCTGTATTCATGTCCGAATTAAGAATCAAGTCATATTCCTTAGCTTTCACCTAAAGGTCCCAAATATATGAAACACAATGAGCTGTATGTTACAAAAACAAAAGTAATCACTTGTCCATCATTAGAGCTGAAAGGTTATCTTAAATATTTTTAATTTTGTACAATAATGAACTTTTCCCAAAATAAATAGCTCAGAATAAACAACAATTCTTAAATAATGTTTACAAGTTCAACCACAGAACATGTCACACAATTTTCTATTTAAAAAAAAAAGTTCCATGTATGTTGTTAATGCCACAGGATCAATAGAAAAAAAAAAAGGAAATTCAATCACGATATCTAAAGTTTGCTCAATCAGAAGAGTAAAAAATTATCCTTTTTGATAAAAGCACAAACAATTTGCTATTAAAGGTTTTCTTAAGTTCTTTGGAAGATAGAAAGGCAAGGCTGAATAATCAGTTCCTAGGATAATACTGTCAATTTCCCATTATTTCTAAATACATACAAGGTATTAGATATTATGCAGAAAAATGCAGTTTGTAACAAACATGGTGCTGTTTTTTCCGAGAGATTAAATTGGCTGCAACAGAGTTCCTGCCCAGCTATTTGAAACAAAAAAAGTACAATGATTCCTCTCACCTCACAATAATGTTATATTCAACCCAAATAAACATACTTACAACACTATAAAGTTCCTTGATACTAGCCTTCATTCATAATTTAATGTAACTTTGTATTTCAAGTTAAATTTTCCAAATTATGTACCACTTATTAGTGGGCTTTATATTTATAAACAAAATTTTTCATGCCTTTTCCTACAAAATGTGATTTGAAATTTCTTTGGAAAACGTTGTTCAACAGGTAATCAGGAAAAAGTCCAATAATTAGTAGACTTTAGACAGTAACTATAAAAAAAGCAGTTCTGTAGAGCAGGGTACATTATTGCTCTATTTGTATGATAAAAAAGATGCAAGCACATATCAAAACAAAAAACTGATAAAAACATTAAAAAATCTCAGTTACAGATATATGAATAGCAAGATGAATTTAAAAAAAAATTCACACTTAAAGGCAAAAATACATAATAACAGAAGCAACAATGTAATATAGATCTCACGAACATTTCTCAGTAATAACGACATCATTCTTTCTGATCTTAGCCTCAACAAACTCAATATGCAAAAATTAGATTAAAAGCAAATTATTTTATACATCAGTTTTTAAAATTTTCAAATATGTATAAATATACAAAAATTCCCTTTTTGCACACTTCCTTGGAAATAAATATTAATCTATACTACAACTATCTATTAAGACTCATTTGCATAAATCAGATCTATCCATATTCATTGCTTTTCACAATAATCATTCCTACCTTAATTGCTTTCCTTAAATTTCCACTTTCAAAACGAGATTCAAATTTAAGATTGGGACCAACATATTGCTGAAGAACTCTGAAAAAAATTTATTCAGCTTTTATCATTAACTGTTCTAACCACAACTGTTGTCACTAACAGCGCACATGCTATTTCATGTATTAGTCTTCCAAACTATTTACACAGACCTGCAATGGTTTTATTGTCTTGAAATATTTCATGTTCTACAGTAACTCCTGTACGTTGAATTTGAAAATGATATCCATTTTTTTCCATCACATACAAATTTTTCATAAGACGTCATAACGCAATACATAAAAGAAAGACCACAGCACGTAGTTTTGAGACTAAAAGACGCAGATTTCACAAAAAAATCAGGATGAATGAGAATACATATTCGTTTGACATCAATGTTCTTCCCTTTTCTTCAGTTTGTTTGTATTTTTGTTAACAAACATAATAATAAAAAATGTTCATTGTGGTAAATAAAATAATAAGTTGATCTAAGTAAGAGTTTTGTTTTTCCCCGATCTAGTAAAAAAGTCTTACATGACAGAAAAAAAACGAATATTATTTTCAAAATCTACGTAGTTGAGTTATGGAAAATCTGTTATTAAAACCAAAACAACTTTTATGAAGTTTAAATTCGCAGGCCTGTGTTATTTGCTAAATATAATGTGGTGGCCCAATATACATATACCATTAATTAATGAGAATAGTACACTAGAAAATTTCCAAAGTTAATCGGTTAAAGTTTCATTAAACATACGTAAATTTTTAAATTGCCTCTTTTGGAAATAAAATCCATCCAAATATTACATATCTCAGAATGTTTTTATTTCTATAGTGCATTGTTACAATATCTGAAGTTTTTTAATTAAAATATTCTATCTGGATAAATGCGTTTTGGCTTTTATGACTCCTCCTATTTTGAGGAATCAAGCGTAATGTGACACACACACTGGCTTTTATATGGGTTTATATGGTATGTCATGAATTATATTTATATAGCAATTATTCAATAACAAACTCTAAGATTCAGAGATGAAAAACACTGTTCCAGAAAAATTATTATTGATTAGTTATGCTAAAAATATTACTGTGATGAAAAAAATCTTTCATCTCAATTGAGCTTAGTTTATATTTTGGGGAAATACTTTTAACCCTTTTGCTGCGTAATTTGGATATATCCAAATAAACATATATATACCCACTGACTGCGAAATTCAGATTTACCCCACGACTATCAAAAAAAAAGTTTCCCTCTACTGTGACATGCAGGAATACCCCCCTGTACTTGAAACAATTGCCAAACCTGCATGCATGCTGTCATCTGTGTTCTATGCCATGAAATCTGGATATTCATATGCCTCTTTACAAAATGGCCAACTTTGCAGGAACATATATAGAATCTATATAAAGACAGCATCTTTTAACCTTAGATATTGTTATCTAAACAACTCGTTTTATATTATGATTTTGGCCTCTTAATGATTTAGTTTTGCCTATGTTTATATCATTTACTGGAGAACACCTTTCTTTTCATTTTCCTCAATTTTTTGTCTAAATCATTATTTTTCACTATCCAATACAGTTTTCACGGAATATTACTGTCAGATATCGAAAATAGAGCCTCTTTCAAAATTGAAAAAGCAATACAAAGAGTCAAATTCACACACACTTTTATGTTTTGGTGGATAACTGACACTTTATGGGAATCAGCCTGAAAATCAATTGCACAGTTAAAGGATTAATATAGTCATAACAATATAGTTGTATTGAAAACTGGAAATAAGTAAAAATATAATACAGAAAATTAAAATTCTGTAAAACCACAAATATTTAAATGGAAAATTCAATGGCATCTTTTTTAATACATTTAAAAGTTCAAACTACTAAAGTTAATGAATCTCAGCATTGGAACAAGAAATATTAAATTTATTTGAATATGATGTTTGACATCTCTATGAAATCTGAACAAGAATATATAAAAAATAAAGGAAAAAAAATATATCTATTATTGTCACAATTTGAATTTCTCTAAAACTATTATTGTCACAATTTGAATTTCTCTAAAACTATTATTTTCACAATTTGAATTTCTCAAAAATTGGCTTATATTTTTGATATCTTTTTTTTATATTCTGTAACTATATAAAAGAACTCAATATTTATATCCAGCACTATGAAGTTTGAATTGCCAAAATCTCTTGACTTGGTTCTTAATGTATTAAATATGAGGAAATATCTTTACCTTTCTTCATCATTATTTTTGAGTCCCTGGAATGTTTCACTCTGAGAATTTTCATCACATAATAGCTGGTCAAGATCATACACCATAAGTAACTCATCCGAACAACTATAATTCAACCTATTCTCCACATGAGTAAGTAACTTATTCCTGAAAAATTATTATAATACTTTTAAAAATTTCATATTATAAAAATTAGCGGTTATCAACATAGTAAATTAAGATGCACATGTAAATAGCAATGACATGAGAAGAATATTATGCAAGTATTCAAAGAATGTAGGCTCACAGATTTTTATATTAAAAATATTTCTTGTGACTGAAACTAATACTTATAAATCAACATTACTTTTAAGTTCTAGCATCTTAAGCTTGTAGTTGCCAATCATAAATAAAAATACTTTTCATAACTATACCTAATGTATTATGAAAAATAAGTTGATACAAAATTGTGAATAAAGTCTTATACTAGCCTAAGAGCAACAGAATGAGTGCAATGTTTCTGAATCTGTGAGGCGATTTGATGATAATATTGTTTGATCATCATAAATAATCAAAAATAAAATAAAACACTTCTCCCAACTTAACAGAGAAATAAAAAACTCAAAACAACTAGGAAGTGATGACTAGATTAAAAAAGATTCAATAAAGACAAAGTTAAGTAGTTCTCCAGACATTTTGAGATTATTAACCTACAGACTGCTCAACAGAATATGTGCTAAGATTTAAAAAAAAACTCTTTAAAAGATCTAGACTAAAACAAAGATTAAAAACAAACTAATTATTTGCAACTAAAGCAGATAAAAGGATATTTTAAGCTGATGTGTCTCAGTATCAAAGTTCTCTCATTAGACCCCAACTTATATCAGCACTTTTGATTAATATCTCATTAAACATTCTCAATGTAACAGAAAACCTTTATGATCATAGGATGAATGTATGTAGCAAATAATGTAATAAACATATCAAACATTTTAAGTAACTTAAAAATGGATAAACGTAAAGAACAATTTTGGGACTTGGTCTTCCATAGCTCTGACTTGAATTCATAATCAGTCCCCCCAACATTTATTTTTATTCATAAAGTAAGTATTGACTGGCCAGAAAATTGTCACTTCATTCAAAAAAAGGTCATTTCTGAAGGCTGAATCTAGGATACATCCTTAAGACTAAATTACACAGGAATAATTTTTAACTCTCTTACCATGGGCTCAGTTAATTCAAGCGAGTTTGTGAGCCCAAACTGACTTTTAGTTTCCACACTATAATTTTGAATATGTATAGTGTATCTTCACGAAATTTTGCAAGCTTTCGGTATATATTGTTATTCTTAGCATTCACTCACTATTTTTCTATCAAATATATAATAATGTCAGGAAATGTTCAGAAAACCATAATTATTAATGTATAATAAAATTACAGATTTGTCCCAGTGAAATCATCGGGAAATCCTTTGACCATTTACATTAATCCTCTCATGTTACTTAAGTGTTAAATCTATCTTCCTTTCAATAATCATAGATCTCTCAACCCTGGCCTGAAAAATACATCAGTTCACTACTGGTCATAACCAAAATGTACATTTCTTCAACTTCGCCTACCGTAAATAAGACACTTGATACATATTTATACAGAGAAACACATACAACATTAAAGTCACGAGTGTTTCAGCTCCAGTTCCATAAATTATGAATTTTCTAACCATTATGGATTGAAAAGTTTAACTTGGCAACTTCAATTTACATCACTTTTCTAAAAATGACAATCTACTTGTTTCAACTGACTATACTTTGTCTATATATATTTGATTCATACTAGCTGTTTTCATAAGAAAAAAGTTAAGCTGTGAATAAACATTGAAAACAATTTTGTCCCTTTCACCCAGCTTTTCGTCATCTTAATTTAACTTTACCAGCAAAACTCTACAGGCAACTGTTTGTGCTAGGAATTACTAATCATAGTATACATACCTCACTGAAAAAAAAAAATTCATACATTTTACTGATATAAACTGTATTGTTTTTATATATTAAAAGTGGTCCCGCTTACTGAAAAAATAATAGTTCTTTAAGAACTCCAGTTTCTGAGTACTACATTTAAAAATTACATTAATATAGATCTAATCAAACCCTCATGTACAGTCCTAGTGAAAGTCATGTTCTTGTTGTGAGGAGAGTACCTTTATTTAAAATTCTGTTCTATTATAAAGAAATGGTTGTTGCACATACCACAGTTAGTTTTCTAATTTTCTGAATCTTGAATACCCCAAAGTGTGAATTTTTTTATGGATTTTGTTTATGGTGCCATTCAATAGATGGTGTAGGAGTTTTGGTTACATACATAGATATTGACATACACACTCCATCCATCATAGTAAGATTAGATGTTTACTTCAATTTTTATATTTTTCCCTTTTTTTGTTATTAATTTGTTTACTGTGCATTTATTTCCTTTAGGTAAATTTGAAGATAATTAGCTAAGAAAAGAAGAATTATTGCTTTATTGTTCAATAAACATGTGATGCTTGTAAAACAAGAATACAAGAGAATTTTTAACATGTTTAAGAACTTTAATGAAAAAAACAAAGGCTTGAGATTTGAAAATTAATTTTCATCAGCAAATAATATTTACTATAGTTAATTACATGTCCATATTTTGAATAAAATTTAGATGCTTTTCACTAAAGTTAAAGATCACTTAATCATAAAACAGTTCATTATTATTATCTATCCAGTAATATAAAGGTTAAGTTATAAAAAACATAAATCAGCATGAAAATATATCTAAAATGGCATACCTACTGATACCAGTTTTCTGTGTGTTTAATGGTTCAAGAACAGCTCGGCAAGGATCTCCTTTCATTTCAGGGTAAGCAATCTTTACAAAAGGTATCTGGTGAAGTGTCCTAGAAGTCATGTCTTCATATACTTCCCAAAAATTCATTTTTTCTAAAAAGTCTTCTCCTTGTTTGATTTGTTTTGCACTGTTGAGCAAGATCTTTCCTTGATTACTACTCTCTTGGGCAAAAGTCTTCTCTGAAAACTTATTATTCAACTGCTCCCTGTCATTGGTTACTATTAAATGAGATTTTTCATTAGAAAATATTACATCTGTCATTTCATCACCTTCTACTGTGTTTCCAGTTTGTGCAGGATAAGTTGGAATCTGTAGGGAAAGAAAGATACCTTTTTATTTGAAGTTTATTCTTTTTCATTGGATACTGTCACGGTATGTATGAAATATTTTAATTTCTAGAAATTGTACTGATTTATTATTTGAAACTAAATCATTAGTTCATTTCTTGTGGAAATATACCAACTCAAATGCATTCATTTATGTTAATTTTTTGTTGTTGTTTTTTTTTGGGGGGGGGAGATAATGCAACTCAATGTCACTAATAAATTTTTACTTCTTTAAAAAAGTAGTATAATATAAGAATAAGGTGTGATATCCAGCCAAAATATAAATACATTAGCATGTATAGTCTGTACATACCCTTTCAATGTGTTTACTTGTTATTTCTGAGAAAAACTTAGAATAATTCTTCAAATCTTCTGTGTTGGGTTGGTCTGTAAGAGCTTCACAAGGAACTTGAACCTTTTTTTAATTCAAAAAAAATAAACAGTCTCCATTAACTATAATTTATTTAATTAGAATTTAGTACATAAAACTTCCTGTAGGTATCCAGTTTATGGAATCTAACAAAACTTTTTTTTGAATTTAAAGAAAACATCATAGCATAGCCACTGAAAGTTGGAATGAAGCAAACCATACAATATAAGATTTTTCTTTTGCTTGAAATTAGTGTTTCCTTTAAAGACTATCATTTTCATATAACAAAAGATCTATTTTTATCAGCCTAAGCGACACATATAACTGCGAGATTATCCTAAAACACTCTACATCACAGAATAACACTAATACAGATTTTAACTATCCTACTAATCCATTGTTTATGTTTAAATAAAGAACAAGATCTCCGTTTTTAATGATTCTTTCAGGTTCATCCAAATGTAGTACATTTTGACATTCGTATCAAACATTGGCATCAGTGTGACATTCCATTTCAGCCACTTTAATTGCAAAATAAAAAACCGTAATTTAATTTCAAAATTTATAATTTTTAACATTTATTTTGGTTTATATAGAACAGAATAAAGTATAACTATACATATTGTTAGCTCCTTACATATTCTAATAAAAGAAATACTGATAATCATGAAGTTCATAAACTAACACATGAAAATACATTTAAATTTGTCATGATTAGTTTATATTAATTAAATATTTCTATTATAATAGCACTAATAAATTTCACTATGTTAAGTGCCAAAAGAAAATAAAGAAAAACAGTTTAGAGCTTTCTAACACAATAAACTGGCAAACAATGATTTATAAACATAATTAAGTGGTTTAATTTTGGGAAAAATACTACTTGTTTCAAAAGAACATTCAGGTATATCAAGAAGACAGACAGATAATACAAGAAAACAGTCCAATGTCCTGTTGAAACGTGCATTACACCACCACCCCAAATAAATCAATTAATTTTTATATTAGCATAATGTGCTTCCATACTCAAGCTTTCTGATATATTCATGTTCCTTTTCAACTAAATATTTTATACATGTACTTATAATTCTAGGCAGTGACTAGTGTTATTCAAACCAATGCAGTATTTTCATGTGATGTCACATTCTGTCAAATTATTTGCCAAAAGAGAGGGTTGTTCATACTCATATACATCATGTAAGTTTGTTAAAAGAAATTTCAAACGAACCAATAATAATCACTGTTAAAAACAGAAACATCGTATGATTTATACTTCAGTTTTCTTTAACGTAAAAAGTTCATTTTCAGATCACTCCACTATTTACTGTCTCTGAGAGCAAAACTACTTTCTCCCGTAATTTCTACATACTTTGTTATGGTTGTGTATTCAAAGCTTACATAAAAAAAAATATATCTTCTTGTGTAATAACAATTTGGTTTTCAAAAAAAATATTTTAGGAAATAAATATTTTACCTAATCATTAAGTAATTTAATACAAAACCAATATAAAGAACAAACTTCAGTATCCTCTTGATCAGAAGTTTCATCATCAGAGGAAGAAGACACACTTTCATCATCCAGAAACTCTCCAACGCCTATAGAATAAAAAAAAACTAAATAAGTACAATGTAGATATGTTTCACTTACATGTTTCAACAACTCTTGCAATACACAAAATACTTCCGAACCAAAAAAATTATTTTTATTTCTGTACAATTAATAAATAATTTCATAAAGCAATATAATATACTGATGATAATGACTTTTTTATATTGGAAAAATACAAAGCGGTGTGAAAAGATTCCCTTTGAAATATAAATTTAATTATTATTTTTTATTTAAAAGTCTTGACATTCAAGTAGTGTTTACCACACGTCAAATCCTGGCATTTAAAGTTTCTATTAAATAACTTATCGATATAGGTTTGAAATGAAAAATATTATTTGAAAGCAGCTTTTATACAACCTATAAAAATCCTTCATATTTGTAAAACACCCCCCAAATTAGAATACCAGCTTCTGACATTCAATTGTTTTACACAAGATAATACACAAGTTATAGCTCTTTCTAGCCTCAATTATATTGTTGCGTCCAGCGAGGTCACGTGACTAGTGTCACGCCACCTATTTTCTAGAAATATCTTGTTCCTTCGTGAATGCCCTAGCATTTACTAGATATATGCTTGTCTGGTATATATATAAGACGCTCACAACGTGACGTGAAAATGTGTGTGTAGGTAGTGAGTAATTGAACTGCAGTCAGAAAGTATTGTTGCGCCAGCGAGGTCACATGACTAGTGACGCCACGTTTCTAAAACTATCCTGTACCTTGGCGAATGCTCTAGCATTTACTAGATATAGGGT